GTTCCAGAATCACAGCCTCACAGTCTGAATTAAATCTCTTTGTTCACCTACATGGCACTTAAGGGACCTATGTGTAACCTACATAATCTCACCTAGGTAGTTGGGCTGCCCTCAACAGGGGGATCCGGTGGACACAGAGGCCAGGCCGTCCTTATGAAATGAGGTCCTAGACCCCTAAGATTCTGGCCAGAGCTCCTTCTCCCAGGGAGGTTCCCCAGCCTCTCATTCTTCCAGTTGGCCTGGGGCTGGGTAGTTCCAGACAGAGATAGCTCCAGAGCTGAGTTTGTGGACAGTCAGGGGAGTCTGCACTTAGCTTGCATGTCCAGAGCTCATGGTATGTGGGGCCCAGGCAGGCAATCAGAACCCCCAGCTCTGCTCCGATGCCAGGAAGGCAGACAACAGAACACCAACCACTATGGGGAATTCATTCTTGCTGGTGACCAAGAGCACAGTTAGCACCCCAGGGGGGGTGGTACAGGGTAGGCACGAACCCTCTTGGATGCTTGGGTCCTGCCACTGAGGGGGAAGGAGGGAAGCCCTCCGTGGTGGCGGCCTCAGTAACACCTGCACGAGGTGAATGGTCTCACCACCTCTGGTCGTCCCTGGCACCCCAGGTCTGTTCATGGCTCTTGTCTTCCTCTATCATATCAAAGACTAATTCTATGCTCCAAACTTGCTATGCTCCTGGGCCCTGCTCCACACGAGGACCCAGTGTTGGTATTTCCCGGCACTGTTTCTTGGCTCCTCCTTCTCTTCCATCAAGGTCCATGGGCTCCAGGCCTTTGTGTGTGTTGGGCTCTAGACACCCACTGTGGGGACAGACCTAGAGAGGCAGCCGCAGGGCAGCAGGTGCTCACACCTGTGCCCAGGCCTCCCGACTTTCATTCCCTGGGGTTTGTGTGCATAGCCTGAGTGCCACCTGTCCACATGTCACCTGGCTCCTGCCCATCCCAGGGGTTCAAGGGCTCCCTGGAGGAGCAGTTCCCAACCTTTTTGGCACCATGAACTGGTTTCATGGAAGACGCTTTTTCCAGGGAGCAGAAGTAGGGGGTTGTTCAGGGTGATGCAGGTGCATTACGTCTGCCCCTTGGACCATTGGGCATTAGACTCTCATACAGAGCTGCGACTAGACCCCTCACACGCAGTTCACTGCAGGGTCTCACTCCTGTGAGCTAACGTCTCCACTCCACTCATCTGATGTGAGCAGTGGGGGTGGCTGCAAATACAGATAAAGCTGCACTTCCTCACCGGCAACACAGCTCCTGCTGTGCGCCCAGGTTCCAGTGCCAGTCCTGCGCCCAGGGTTGGGGACCGCAGTCCTGGAGAATCCACTCACATGGATGCACCACAAGCATTCCTGAAGACTTTGTAGGGGAGGGATGGTTACCAGGCATACAGCACACACCACTCAGCCCGAGCCCCAGCCCCCTCCCTCAACAGGCCACAGTGGGGAGGGGCAGCGAGGGGCTCCTCTCTCCTCTTCCATGCTGCGGCTGCTCACTCCTGCCTTCCACCATCACACACACTTGTCCCTTCAAATTTTCACCCCTGTTTTGCAGAGCAATCTGTGTCCAGCCTGTCCCCCCGACTTGCCTGCCCAACTCCTGGGATTGCTTAGCTGGACCCACCTGACACAGAAACAGGTGAGGGTGACGAATGTTAATATTCCCAACAAGAGAGCAAGAAACAAAGACACCTGTGCCTCACACAGAGGACTCTGCGCTCCTGCTCTCTGCTCCCATCAAGGGGGGAAGCACCACGGCTGAGTCAGACTCCACTCCCACCAGCGC